GCCTCAGAGCAGAGGGGCTCCAGCCCTCGGATCATTTTTGTGGCCCTCCTCTGGCCCCGCTCCAACAGGCCCATGTCCTCCTTGTGCTGAGGGCTCCAGAGCTGGACGCAGGGCTCCAGGGGAGGTATCACAAGAGCAGAGTAGAGGGGCACCTAATCCCACCAAATTTTACTTAAAGAGTTACCCATAAACACCCAGTATTTGCATTTCAGACCTAGAAGATGGATGGCGCACCTGAAAGATTGGCAGGTTTTCTCATAGGGGACAAGCAACTACCTCTCTCTCCGTACCTTCATGTCTTCAGACCCTCCTGGTAAGGAGGACTAAATACATAGCCCCATTTTCCTGCCCCTCTGAGCTCTGGGCACTAAGCCTGCAAGCGTCGGCAGGTACAGATAATTCCATTAAACTCGGGAGAAACACGCCAACAGCTGTGTCCTGGGCGCTGACCGCCCTTCCCCTTGCGAGGGTGTGCCGATTTGCACTTTTCAGGGTCATTATCCCGGCCATTTCTGAAGCAACTGGGAAAAATCATCACCAGGATGCGGACCCCAGGCGCTACGACCGCTGCAACAGGCATGAAGCCGCAATATTTTTACTGATTTATTTGCATAGGTCATTACTACCTAAACCAAAAGGGTATTTGCTACAGACCCCAGCCCCATGATGGCATGGTTAATCTGCTCGCTCCAAATTTAATTAAACGCCCTGGAAAGTTTAGGCTGACTTCATGGGTCTTTCGCAATTGCCTTTCCAACACAGCGATCACTGGGAGTTCTTGTAGAAAGAGCACTTCTGGCGTGACCTCGTTGGGAAAAATGAGCAAATACGAGTGAAATCAGTCTTCCACCAGGCTGTGCGCTAGGCTCAGCGGTTCAGCTCGCCTTCACTTTGCCACGTTCAAAAGGGCCCTGCGGCGGGGGGTTGCTGCTACGTCCCGAACGGCCAGCGGTGACAGCAGGCGTCCCCAGAGCATGACGTTTCTTCCTGAGCAATCTGGTCGTTAGAAACCTTAATTAATGAGCACACGTGTGGCCAACGACGGTGATGGTATCTCACCTTAAATAGCAAACTGGGACTGCAAAGGCACTTTTGGTCAATAACCTTACCAGCCAACCTCGCCAACCCTGACGTTGGGATCGCCTGATGTGTAATAAATGTGCCCCCCCCTTTCTGCAGAAGCAGAATGGTGAATTTTTGTACAAATATTTATTTGTATACGCATCTTTCCCCTGTTTTAGGCAAACCTAGCTCTTCGTCTGCCTGTATGTATACACCGAAGGTTGTAAAAAGAGCTGCAGACTTCACATGATTTGTGTGCAACTGATCCATCTGAGCGCCAGGAACAGGGCTCGGGGGGCCTAACTCCGAGCCCTGGCCACATCCTATTGGAAGAAATTGCTTTGCACTCTAAATTGTGTAATGGAAAAAAAAGTTGGGATGAAATTGCAAATTTAGAGCTTGCGTGCAGCTCTCAAGGAAGACAATGGAAGCTGTGTGAAAGAAATTTGGCTCCCAATTAGTAAGAGGCATTATTTTCTATGCCTCCATTGTAGGACCTGCGATGGTGTTGTTTAAATTATGCAGAAAGGCTGTTTGCTATAAGAATGTGAGGGCAGTTCGTTATTACGGGTCCACATTGCAGGGCCTCTGTGCTGTTGCCTGTATGTTACAAGTATAGGTCACTGTTTTCTCTTAAGCATCATATAAATATTTGGGTTGGAAGGAAGCTCCGGTCTAACCTCCGGCTCAAAACAGGGCTAGCGTCGGGGTTGAGTGTTGAGTGTGTCCGAAGACGGAGATTGCGCAACCTCTCTGGGCGCTCAGTCCAGTCCCTAAATACCATCGCTGTGAATACCACCATTATTCCTTGCATTTCGTCAGACCTTCCCTTGCTGCCACTTGTGACTGTAGCTGCTTGTCCTTTCACCACGTACCTCTGCAAAGCATCTGCCTGCTCTGTAACCCCGCTCTGGATGGCTGGAGACTGCAGCGAGATCCCTCCTCCCCTCTCTCCTAGCCCAAAAATACAATTCCCACGACCTCACTTCATACTTAAAGGGAGTACTTGAAGTACTTTCTTCAGGGCTTAAAGGGGGCCCATAGGAAAGATGGGGACAATCTTTTTAGTAGGGCCAGCTGGGACAGGACAAGGGGGGATGGTTTTAAACTGAAGCAGGGTAGGGTTAGACTGGATCTAAGGCAGAAATTCCTTACACTGAGGGTGGTGAAACCCTGGCAGGGGTTGCCCCGAGAGGGGGTGGAGGTATGCTGTGTGCTCTGGCCCCCCAGCCATGCCAGTGGCCCCCCTCTGAGCTCCCTCCAGTTTGTCAACATCCCTCTTGTCTTTCAGTGGCAAAACTGGGGATAATTGCCCCTACCTTAGCCTTTATTTTGGGGGAAAAAGCCAACAGAAAACACTTAAATTGGGTTTTAAATTCTATACCGTAAGCAGTATCGTACCGTTCATGAGTGCATTGACCTTAGTTTTGCTGGGAATGCAGGAGCATAGGCAACAGCAGCGTGTGGATCTCTCCTGTTGGGTCCTCAATTATATATCATGGGATTTTAGTTCGTGGCTTCCCAACGAGTCCAACTGAGGACTTTTCAGGGACAATAACACAGATCTTGGAATGTGACAAGCATCGGAGGCAGGAAACTTTATCGCACCCAGAGGGCCGTGCATGCCACAGACAATAAATTCAGAGGAACAATAACAGTATCTTTTTTGTACCTCCTGCTTTGGCATCAGCTAGTCAGAAGGAGGAAATCCGAGATGCAGAGGAGGCATCCCTTTTCTCTCCAACCAGGAAATAAAAGGATTAATTTATTTTCTTTTTAACGAGATTAAAATTATGGAATGTTACATCAGTTGTAGTTAAGAAAATGCCAGTCTGATGATGGGCTAGAACAGTGAGATAGACGATATTAAGCTGCAGTTACAATGCTGATTCTTACTGGGCCGTGTCACTCGGCTTTTATATTCATGCTTCGCTCTGCACTGTGGACATCGTGCGCTCTGAAGAATTAGCGGAGCCACCCTGAAGCTAGATTTTAAAGGATACCAGATGGTAAGTTCAATGCATGGGGTAAGCTTTCATATGCTTTTCCCCTATGGCCAATCACTGACTGATCATTTATTTCAAAACCCTCATAAAATAAATCACTCCGAAAATGATGCTCTCTTTAGTTAATAAGTGCTCTTTCTCAAGGCAGAGGCTTGCTGTCATGAAGATAAAATCATAAAACTGGTTCAAAGTGCATTGGGATGGCAAATGCACCCCATGGAGGAGGTGAGATAAACTGGATTGAACTGGAGAAGAAGCTTGGCTGGCTGCTTGTTGTGAACTTAGGTCATTACAGACACTTTGAGAGTCACTTGGGCACTAACACACGGGTTTTCTCTGACAAGGAACGAATTCTTTGGGTACATTTTCTTTCCACAGTGGTGGACACGTAGAGTTGACACATGTTGATCGTGTGTCAAGCTACTGCATGAGTTTGTTTTTGGATTTTGGGGTTCATGATCACGTCTGGCAGCAGAAGACAGAGCGCTTTTCACTTTTTCATGTTCTTTAGTGAATAAGAAGTAGAAAATTCATCTGTGGGTGACACCAGTGAATCCCACCTCATCATCTGCCCTCTCAGAGAGGCACCCACCTTCTCCCCATCCCCAAAGAAAGAACCCGGGTTCCCCCAAGGGATCCAAACCTTTATCAGTCCCCTTTCTGTCCTCTCCTTCCCCCTTCCTCCACACGTCCCGTTCCAAACTCCGTGGCTCCTGGTACAGCATTGCTATCTTCACAGCCTCTCCATGAGTTCTGTGGCATTTGCTGTTCGGCTTAGCAGCCATGGCTCCAAC